CAAAGGCAGAGGCATGTGTTGAAGGCAGCAGCATATAGAGAGAGAGAGAGAGAGAGAGAGAGAGAGAGAGAGAGAGAGAGAGAGAGAGAGATGAGAGAGCTGTTTTCTAATGAATGGGAAAAATATCAGTCCAAAAACCAAAGACAAATTGGAGTGAAATATCAGAGAAGATTTGGAATAAGTAGGTGGAATGTATGCATCCAAGCTTCCTGCTAATCATAAGCAGGAACATTTCTGGGGATCTGGGATTTAGTCTGTCATCATGCACAGGCCACATTAATCTTCCCCTTAATTCATCTGGCTGGCTGAATTTCAGTTTGCCATTACTTCCTCTAGAAAGCCTTCCTAAGCCCCCAAATTGAGGCAATATTTTTTTTTTGTCGTTGTTGTTTTCCCCCCATAGGCCTATATCATTTATTTCATGCCTCTGTTAGGTGTTACTGCATATGCTTATCTAGCATTTTGATATTCAAGTAATTTAAGAAATGCTATAGCATACATTAGCACAGAATACATGAAAGGCACAAGATATCCTGAAATAAAGAAATATGTTTAGCTGTTTTAAACTCAGAATTTCCCCAGTTTATCTGACCATATATTGTCCTTCTTCCTTCATATAAAGATTAGTATCCACAAAAACTGGTATTCTGGGGAAGAGCATTTTAGAAAAGTTGGTTTCCATATTTATTTGAGGTTGGTGACTATTTTCACATCACCAAAGTATGCAAGAATGCCTGAAATATATAAACTGAATTATCAATGAAGAAGCCTCTTTCGGGTGTCCAGGCTCTGCTTGGCCTGACTATGCAATCCTGTGGGCAGCAGAAAGGGCAATGGGAGCTCTCTTTAGGCTTCTTCCCTTCAGCCCTAGGATCAGCTGCTTCTTTTCCCCTCAAAATTGACATTAGGGGACTGAGCAATGCCAGTAGGCAAAGTCACCTGCCTTTGGGAGGTGCTTTAAAAAAGCCAAGGAAGAAAAGATGGGAAAATGAAGAGGGGAAGGAGGAATGGAGAGAGGGAGCAAGAGATGGAGATAGAGGCAAGTTCAGTGGAGGGGTGACAGTCCCCTACCAGCAAGTCTTCGTCCTCCTCAGGGATTGAGAATGCCACTATGCTTTCTGATCAAGATATTAGAAAAGGGGCTGGGGATGTGGCTCAGGCGGTAGCTGGCTCGCCTGGCATGCGTGCGGCCTGGGTTCGATCCTCAGCACCACATACAAACAAAGATGTTGTGTCCGCCAAAAAATAAAAAATAAATATTAAAAAAGTTCTCTCTCTCTCTCTCTCCCTCTTTAAAAAAAAAAAGATATTAGAAAAGCCAGATCCTCTTTTTCTCACCCCTTATTCCCTTTAGTTCTTTTTTTCCTAATGTCAAGTACAATGTGTTTATAGGTATTCAGGAGAGGTGGAATACATTTTTGAAATAGATCTCAGTGGGTGGTGAATTTGGGGATTTTGATGTATATAGCATTAGGCAAAGGGGAAAGAGTAAAATTCTAGAACTCAAAAGCATCTTGGAGAACACTGAATTCAACTGCCTCATTTGCAAACAGAAGTCAAGGAATTGCTCAAGGTCATACAGTGCTCTAACGACTAGGCCTGGAGCACAAGCACTCTGACTCCCAGCTTAGTGTGCTTTCTGTAGCCCTCATTGTCACAAATATGACCAGAATGTTCTGTGGTCAGAAAATAAGCACTAGGACTATTCAATTCTTTAAAGGATGGATTGTATTCAGGTCATAGAGTCAAATGGATGATTTGACACTAGACAGTTGGTCTGTTGTTTCTCCCAAGAAATACATATTTATTCTGAGCTGGGAGAAGGATTGAGGATTAAAAAATGGTGCATTGAATAAGTAATCACTAAGCCAAGGCATTGGTCACCCAGAGGGTTCGACTTAGGACCTAATCTTTAAGTAATTTGTGAAAGGTCTCGAACACGTCCCTGTTATTTGAACTTGCACTTTTGTGTATCTGTGATAACAAAATGAAAAATGATTCCAATCTTAATCTACTCGTTTTTCAAGATCCTTTCTACTCCCTTGTACTAGACTCTTAAGATATGACAGAAAAACAATATCAAAACAGGGCTATTTCCATACACGAAGAAAAAGTCATCTGAAAAAGAAAAGCTTTTTCAGAACTGTGAGAAGTGTTAGTTGCTTTTTTCCTGTAGACATAGGTTTGGAGGAGTGGCATTTTGCTACTTTGAGTTAACCTAACCAACATACAGATTTGTGGACCACTCTGCCATGATGTAAAATCCTTTTACATGTAAAATCATGTAAAATCCTTTTACAGATTATCCTTTACACAGAACACTCATTTATATCCTGGCAAGGGCCACAGACAGAGATGGGCTGTGTGTCCTTAGGGCCAAAGTATGGACTACACATAGGAAAACCCAAGCTTTTGTCATTGTTTCAAAAGTGCTAAATGTTATTTTTAAAAGTAAGAAGTAAAACGTTTTTCCTTTTATCTCAGTGCCTTATATGAGTGATCCTAGCCATATCTAAAGAAACAGTTTCTGGGGCACTCTTTTGAAATATTGTTCTGGGTGTTTGTCTTCTGCCTTCTGAGACAACCTTCTTCAGGTTGATTTACCTAAATATACCTAAAAACGGGGGGGGGGATCTCTCCTCTGTTCAGACCTCCAATTGTCAATAGAATGAAGGTGAAATTCCCTTCCTGGCATTCAAGGCCTTTTAGAATTTGCTCCTACATTGCTTTCTCAGTCTTCTCTTTCTCCCTTTTATTCCTTATAGTTGACATTACTGTTGTTGCTTCTGCAAGCTCGTCTCTGCCTGTCAAAATCACACCCACCCTTCAAATGCAGTTTACTTCCATATCATGACTTAGATGCCATCCAAGCAGTGAGGGGTTTATCTCTGTGTTCTAGCATCTCTCTTTTTTTGGTAGGGGGAGAGGACCACTCTTACAGCACTGGACATACAACCTGGCGTTACATTCATTTGTGGTAGAACTCTCTTTCTCTTTCTTGAATGAATATTCCTGGCAGCTGGAAAGATGCCTGAAAAACCATAATTTTGTCATTTTCCTTACAGTACTAATAGTAAAGGTAAAATAAATGAAAATCTAGATCTAAAGTCAGGGTTGTCTTCAACAGACAAACCCCATAAGACTCCAGTATTTTTACATGGTTACTTACAAGTATTTGTTGTAAGAAGCGTAGACGTTGGGGGTGGGAGAAGGAAACTTGTTAAATAAAGCTACAAAGTAGATATTGGTCAGTTTTTAAAATCAGCCCATATAGTGTTTTTTTTTAAAGAAAATATTCACCAATTTTTAAAAATTTGAGAAATCTCACATAAAAATTCTTTCTTCCTGATGTCTTGAAAAATAAAAGGATCTGGCAACCTGGGCTTGCATCCTCTTTGCTCTTTAGTCCTCACCCGACCCACACATCACTTATTATTATATCTTCCTGGATACTGAATCTGAAACTCTAGATATAAAGAAGGACTTAGAATGAAAGCAAAGAGAATAATAAGGTCAGAATGAAGATTGTCCAGAGTCAAGGTAAGCTGCAGCATGGGAACCTTAGAAAAGAAGTTGGACACATGCTTAAAAATATTCAGATGAAAAAAGGAAATTCAGATTTTAAAAAAAAAGGAAAAAAAGATAAAAGAACAAAGGCAGATGAAGAGATTCTACAGTGACTGAGAGAAAACAGAAAGGACCATAAAAATTTGTCATGTCTTCAGGCCTGGGCACATGCTGTTGTCATGAGCAATTTATTGGGGAGTGTGTAGATCACCTCGGTATTCAGATAGAAAATGCCATGTTCACAGCAGAACCAAAATTCTTGTTCTTGCTTTGGTTGAAAAACCAACCACCAGAATCTTCTCACTTTTTTGGAGAAGATCTTAGAGTTGAGGATGGAAATTTCTGGCAACTGAAGGGAAACTTAAACTCTTCCAAGGTTTACCAGGGGCCAGGGGAGAGCAGTGATAACCCACAAAAATAAACCCTTGTCCTGATCTAGTCCTCTGATGATCATCTCAGCGCACTTAGCCACCAGGGGGCCCTGTTGCACACCACATTCAGCATTAATCACCAGTATTGGCTCACCTCACTGTCATCTGGGAAGTTCTTCCATCCTTCTATTTTTAGTGAAAAGGAACCTGGGATTATTTCAACCTTGTCTTTAAAAACGAGGACTATTAAACAACAAATAGATAAGAAAGTAAAACATAATGGAAATGAAAAAATAGCAAGAGCCGTTCACCACTGAAGAAAAAAAACATTTCACTGGGGGCGGGGGGGGCTTTTTCTTAATTGTGGAGCCCATGCCTACAGATGGTCTCTATCTAACTCTGTATTCTACCCTACTCTTCCATCAGGGGCCCCAGTACCTAGTCTGCTGATAGAAGCCAGAGTCAGGTCAATGCAGCGGGTGGGAAGAGATGGCAGAAGAATTCACCCTGGGAAAAGGACTCCATATTTCTCCTGCTCACCCAGTTCATTCTTGAAGGTGTGATCCTGTGGGAGAATGGAGTGGGAGTTCCGAATAGTTCCACCTCCAACAAACCAGTTCACGTTGGGATTCCAGCGGTTCACAAAGCCACAGAGATGATTTTCTTCAAAGTCACACTCTGGTCAAAGAGAAATAAAAACATGAGTCATGGACACCTTGTCATACTTGGGCATGCCCATACTGCAGCGTTGGCCTGACACATTCTTCTGCTCCCTGGAACATTTGTACCAGGACTCCGTGACAATATTGGCCAAGAAGCAAGAACTTGCAGTGAATGAAGATTCTAACTCATCCCTGCCACTTTGAATTGTGGACCTTTCATTTACTAGCTAGGGGGTTTGCTGAGGGACCTCTCTTAGCCTGTTTCTCCACATGTGAACTGGGGAAAATGTCCCCACCACATAGGCTTGTTGTCAGTGTGGCCAGTGTTGGGCATAAGCTGGCCATTTTTGTCAGTCATCTCTGTTAATTAAATAAAATAATTAATTCATTGGCCCCAGGGTTTGAACCTAGGACCCTTCAGCATGTACTCTACTACCGGATCCACCCCCAGTCCAATCATATCTATTTTAATGAATATTTAAGGTTCTGCTCTCAGCTCCAGAAATTTTGTTCATTACCCTTTCTGAATCTGGTGGCCTAGCCCTCTATCCCATTCTCTACTGATGGTGAACAAAATGCCCAGAACTCAGGGGCATGTTTCCTAGATGCTAAAATCCCCTGTTTTTCTTATTACTAAGAACACAGTCAGGATAAGCAGGGCAGGCATATTCTAGGTTCTGGGCCCCTTCTGAAGCTCCTGAGTGGAGAAGAGAAAGAAAATAAAGAGATCCCTTTAAGTATCATTCATATGTTTACTATTAATTGTTTCCAATGGACAGACTCCTCCAGTAATTCATAGACAAGAAATTCATAGACAAGTGCCTCTATATGCCCTAATAATCCTGCAATTAAAAATATGAAGCATGATTGTGTTGGCCACCCCCACAGCCCCTCCAGACTCACCCTGCCCTTCTCCACCTGCTCTACTCTGCAGAGGCTGACCTATCTGGACTATATCAACGGGTTCCCGTGCTTCCAGGCTTCCAGTTGGATTTGTCCAGTGGAGGATGGAAGGAGCATGACATCAGTGGTTTAGTCCCCTGGCTTTGTCCCTGCTGGGTAGCCATGGTCCCTTTACTGAGGGCACAGCCATTGTCTAGTAGCCCTCACCATACAGCTTTTGTCTCCATGTTCCTGTTATTCCTTCTCCATTGCCCCCACAGACCTAAATAGGAAAGCAGCCCCTGAGCTACCCAAGTTACTAGTCTCAGGTCAAAGAGTGTTCCTTCCTGGTTTCATTTACTATTCACACATTAGGATCTCTTTGATGAACTCTCCTGATGAGGTTGAGTGTACCTGTTTCCACTTTTCTGCATGGATCCTAGCTTGTGTAGTTGTTAATGTGTTTTTAAATTAGCAAACATTTAAAATTTTTAAGATTTATTTTCAATTTTTCCATGGCACAGTCTGCTAACCAATGCCCAACACGTAGACACTATTATTAATCTCATTTACAAATGAGGAGCCAAGAGAAGAGGTACAAAGAGAGTGCCATAAAGTTTAATGAGATAAAATAGTGTCATTTCTTCTGTTAAAAAACAGAAGGCCACCAAATCTTTTGAAGAAAAGTAACATACATTTCTTCTTGAGTGCCTAGCATTACACCAATGGCCTCATATTCATGATTTCATTTTTATCCCCATTTTACCAGTGATAAAAACAGAGGCTGAGGGTGCATTGAGTTGGAAAAACCAGTAGGTGGCGCTCCACAGGTGAGTCTGTCTGGTCTCTATAGTCCAAGCCCCAGGCTGACTGGAAGGGGATGCTGCCTGGATGGAGGCTCAAGGAAAGGAGCCTGGAACTAAATATCTTCAGAAAAGACTCACTTTCCCAGTCTGTTTTCCTTCCGTTGCTTTAGAAATGTCATTTAAGTTTAAAATGGAGAAGTAGGAGACTTTGGGGGATTAGTGAAGGCTCCACTCCTTTCCCCTGCATGTTCAAAAAGACTTTGAGAACTATTGGTGCTGAAAAACCTCTCAGTTCTATGAATGTTTTCCTTTCGCACTGCTAACCCCCAATTTAAGACTTCAGCATGTCTCCTTTGTAAGGTCACAATTGCTTCCTCGGGGTTTTGCCAGCTCCTACAGGTTTTGCTTGTCTCCATCTCATTGTCTAAGTGGCAGCCAGAATCATGAACTGAAATCGCAGTTGCACACCCGTACCCTGCGGACTGACTTTTAGTGTCTCCTAACCAAATAATTTAGTGACTCCAAACTCCTTATCCAGAATCCAGACTCTTCCTTAATAAAATCCCTGAGCAGTACAGATTCTTACTTCAAACCAACTTCTCTGCCTTTGGCCTTTGCCTGGACATGCCCCGTCCTTTCTTCCCTAAGAGATCTGTCCAGAGACAGCTCTTTCCTTCCTTCCAGCACTGCCAAAGCATGGCTTGTCCTTTTCTGGATATGTTTATTATATATAGAGAGATTGTCCATGGCCAACAAATAAAAGGTAAGCAAACCTTAGGGCAGGGACTGTCCTCTCCTTGCATCCTTTCAGAATCTGGCATTTAAGAGGCTACCCAATGCTGTTCAAGTGGAATCTAAGTGGCCACCATGATTACTAAGATGTGGCACTGTGTGCCAAGACAGGAATGGAGGGAAGGAGGCATACAATGCCTGTTTTTCGGGGAAAGGCTACAAAAAGCACAATTTACAGCAATACAGAATTATTTTTATTAGAATATGTTGAGGTTAGGGTGGCAATGCTGAGGTCACCCAGTTGCTGCCTCTACTTTTCTTTCATGAATCCAGCCAGTCTAGGCAAATGCTAATAAGCCTTCCTCTGCTGAAGACAGAGAAACAATGTGTAGCATTCAGGGAAACCTAACAGAATTTAAACTACTATGCAGTATGCAGCTTGGTCTTTAGATTGATTCAGTGCTTTCTGGCAACAGTAGATTTTAGAAAAAGATTTGTGTTCTGATGCAATGAAAATGAAACTTACCGATACAGTAGCCAGTTGTCATCTTGATTTCAAAGAGTGCAATGCTGGTTGTGTTTCCCTGTCCTAGGATGCCTTCTATTAAAATCTGCACAACACATGGGGAAGAAGGGGAGTTAGACTTCAGAATATCATGTTCAGGATTTCAGTTGTTAGTCAGGAGCTGTTCAGCAGTGCAAGGCAAACAGAATTGCTAGTCTTAGCTCTTTGCTACTGGATATGAATCTCACGATGGACTTCATTAGAAGAGAGAGAGAGGGGAGGGGGAGAACATATATATTCAGAACCTTGAGGTGGGCAAAGAATCAGCTGTTTTAATTTATCCCAACCACTACCTTCTCCAGTGCTTGTAGTAGCGCCAATTGGTTGTAGATAGAACAGCTTGTGTCCTGGGGAAAATCCATTCTAAAAATAGAAATAGGGAGCAGAAGACCCAGGAAAAATTCCTTGGAGGAGAAATCTCTTGGAAGAGAAGGTAGGAAGCACAAATTTGACAGTGGTGAGAGATATCTCCATGAGACAGAGGACGCTCATACATCACTTCTAGTTTCTATACTGATGAAAAATTTTGAGGTTTTTTTTTTTTTTTTTTTTTTTTTAAACCAGGATTAAACCCAGAGGAACTCAACCAGTGAGTCACATGCCACATCCCCAGCCCTTTTTATTTTGTATTTTGAGACAGGGTCTCACTAAGTTGCTTAGGGTCTCCACTAAATTTGAGAATTTTATACAAAGAGAAAATAGAAGCAAGAAAATTTAGTGAATAATTTTCAGGAATGTTACAGTTCATGTTTGGTCCTGCTTCTGAAAGTAATTGCTTTTTCTTCTGTGGTTTTAACCTGGTATTTTGCAAGTATGTGGTAGATCTGGGATTTGATAACTTTGGGAGCATGGTATGAAATAGGAAACCGGACCCCCCCAGTATTGACTCCTTCTTTCAATACTGCCTGGTGGGAAGGAACTCCAAGCAGACAGAGATATGGGGGTACAGTACTTCAAAACTTTTCAAAGAAAAGGCAGGATAGCACTGGAAAGTGAAAGGCAGATTAGAAATGAAAAACATTTTCATGAAGGCTTCATTGTGTCCTCGGTGATTCACTGACTACCACACTTCATGGCCAAGTGTGTCAGATTCCCCTCTCCTTCCTGACTCCAGTCCACACCTGACTATATGCCTTCCTTTTCCAGAACTTCATATGGAACAATTTTCTTCTTTGAAAAGGAAACAGAACATGACTTGTAAATATCTTTCTTTTAAAGTGCTTTCATTTTTCCTTTTATCATGGTTAATGTCTTATTCAAATTTGTAGCAACTTCGCCTCTGGGAAGATAACATAAATATATACCATATACAATTTAGAAGGATGAAACAAAATGATAAGAACTAAGAATACTCCCTAAAGCCTACTGGAAAAAATCTGTTTATTGAAGAGGTTAGCTTAGACACCATTTAGTTCTCATAGAAGTCTCATTTAAATAAATGGGAGGAAATCTGGAAAGAAGCTCTCTTAAGGAATAAAGAAAATATTAGTTTACATAACTACTAATCTTCCATGCTATAACTAGCCTCAATGGCAGAAGTTTTCTAAGATCTCATTAGGATAAAGTATATATCATAATCCCCAAATCTTCCCCCTAAATGCCACTCACCTTGAATTTCTTGGAACTGTTTGGCAAATCCAGGCTGGCTATGAGCCAGCTGTCTGAAGGTTTCTTAGCTGACCAAAGCAAGCGGTCAAAGCTTTCATCCTCGAATCTCACGTAGAGGTTCAGCTGGCTGGGATGTGATGGAGGCCCTGGAGCCGCAGTTATCTGGTAGACCAAGCGGAGACAGCTCCACTCCTCTGCCTGTAAGTCAGAGCTGAGCAGCACAGCTTTCTCTCCCTGCTTGGCAAAGGAGGCATCCACATAAACATAATGGCCTGGGAAGAGAGAGGAAGACAGGCGAGGGATCAATCTTCTGTTGGCAATTTGGAAATAGACCCAACTGCTATCCAGTAAATCTGTGGACAGATAGAGCCCGCAGATAGATGCGTTTCGTCCGTTCTCTAGGAGTGCCCTGAACACAGGACCTGTGTCTGGCCTCTTGGGAAAACAACTAGATAGTCTGGCAACACTGAGGCCACTTTCTCCCAAGACGACACCAGGCTGGAGCTTCCTGGTCTGCCTTTTCAGGGGTGGCGTATGCTCTTCATTTTGCCCTAATTTCTATCACTTCCAATTAACTCCTGATGCTGAGGTCAAGTGCCTGTTGCCTTTCACGATTTCATACCACATCCACTTAGCTCCTTGTGTTCACCTCCTCGGTTTCCATATGCTGTGGATGTGCAGGCTAAAGGGACATGAAGTCCTGAGGAGCAGAAGCAGGTGGAACCTCTGAGACTGGAGTTAGAATAACTTGGTGGACTCAGCCTGCTGCTTCCATAGCGCTCTTCACCCTTCATGACTTAGTTTGCATTTAACTTGAATCATTATAGCAGACTAAAATGATTTGATAACCTCAACCTGGGTCTTGTGACCTTGGAAGGAAAAAATTCAGTGTAAGACATATATATATATATATGTGTGTGTGTGTGTGTGTGTGTGTGATATTATATCATGTATTAACATGTTATTATTATATATGTAATTAATAGAATAATAAATATGTAACTTAATAGATAACTATTATATTATGTGTTAATGTTATTAATATACATATATAGGGGACAGAGGAGAAGGGTATGACTCTCACTCTTCATATCCCTTTCCTCTGTCCCCTCTTTCCCTCACCCTTCCTCATCTTTCCCCTTTTCTTCCTCTTTTCTGTCTTCCTCCCCTTCCCCTGTCCTTCTTCTTTCCTACTTTCTCTCTCTCTGTTCCTTTTTCCTTCTTCTTCTTCTCTTCCTCTGTCCTCCTGGCATTTTAAAGTGACAGCTTGCTAACTGCCCCAGGATACGGAACAGTATTCCAATGAAGGGGGGAAGAAGGGCATTGAAGGCTAACTTGTGTCGTCCAGTCCCCACTCTGGCCACCTGGCTTCCTATACCAGTGATGTCTGTGGGTCTTTGGGGATCCCCTGCCTTTCTGGTGTGCAGACTCTCATGTTTGCTCAGAGATTCCCCCATTTGTGGCCAGCATTCAGCGTGCTGTGCTGTTTTCTACCTTGTGGCTGTCCCCGCCCCCAAACTAAACTCTTATTAGAAAGGCCCTGAAATGCCTCTTTATTTCGGTGTTCTTCAGCCCCCTCCTCCCATGCCCCAGGTGCTGTTCCCAGCCAGTCCCTGCTTCTGTGGCCAGTACTGACAAGCCACAGCAGCTTGGTGGATGATCTGCCTCATGTGCAGGACACAGTTAGGGCTGTGTCTTCAGGGAGTCTTGCTTGCCAGGAGGAAGGGCTCCAAGATGGAGTCTATCTCCAGCTTGCCACCTTTTTAACGTAGGAAACACCTACTTGATGCAAATAGCAACAGCTTCTAGTGCCAACACAAGCACCCTCTGTGGAGAAATTTAGTCCTTGCAGCCATTGCAACCACTACTGCCTCCTGTATGCAATGATCCCTTGCTAGGAACCAGGTGCTATTCTAAGTGTGTCATACTGTTGAGTTTTAAAGTACCAAGTCAGGGATTTTTTTAAAAAATAAACTGCTTCATTGTGACATGAAGGAGTGCATAAGTGCCACTCCCCCTTTCCCCATTCTTTGCTAAAGAGGCCAGGAAGTAAAGAGAAAGAGAAAGGGGCTGGGGTTCCAATACACCCCCAAAGAGCACACCCCCAGTTACCCACTTACTCCACCCCTCCAACAGTGCCACCAGCTAGGGACCAAGCCTTCAACACATGAACATTTCAAGGACATTCCAGATTCAAACTATAACATGCTCCTTTCTTCTTTTCCCCATTTGGAAAGGAAGCAAATCATTTTGAAGCAGTGATTCTCAAACCTGAGCTTGGAGTCACTTGGAGGATTTGTTCAAATACAACTTGCTGTCTCTCCCCAACCCCTGTGCTTTCTATCCAGAAGGTTAGGGTGGTACTGCACTTCTCACTGATAGAATTTTTGAGAAGTGCCAGGTGATGCTGAAGTGTTGATATGGGAACCACAGTTTGAAAACCACTGACTTAGAATATCTTAGACAGAAACAGGGCTCATTTTCTAGGCACCTCTTATCTATCAAAGAAAGTGAAGGCATATAAAGGAGGGAGAGAATGATTCTATTTAAAGATAAAAACACAAAAGTGTTTATAGCAGGTTTATAAAACCCATCTATTGGTGATTATCTGAACTTTTTAGTGAGTGGCATTAAAAAATTTTTATCTCTACATTGTATTTTACTATAAGCATATGCTAATGATCTCTTACCAAAAGACTTCGTAGTCATCAAAAATACAAACAATAATAAATGATGGAGAAGATGTGGAGAAAAAGGAATATTTTTACATTGCTGGTGGGATTGTAAATTAGTACGACCACTGTGGAAATCGGCATGGAGTTTCTTTGAAAAACTAGGAATGGAATCACCATATGACCCAGTTGTACAACTCCTTGGTATTTATCCTGAGGAATTAAAGGCATCTTACTACAGTGATACATGCATACCCATGTTTACAGCATACAATTCACTACAGCCAATCATCTTGCCAGAAGGCTTTCTTCATGAAATATTTTATTTATTTCATAGTGATGACATTGACACTTGAAAGTTAATTTTAGACATAATTCATATGCTATAAATTCACTCTTTTCATAGAATTCAGTGGTTTTTAGTATAAACAAAATTGTGTGATCATCTTCACAATCTATTTCCAGAACATTTTTATCACTTCAAAACAAACCCTATATTCATTAGTAAGCAATCCTCGTTCTCTCTCTTCCCTGCAACTAGAAACCACCAATTTACTTTTTCTTTGTGAATTTGCTATTCTGGAAATTTTATGTAAATAGAATAATAAAATATGTGTTCCTTTTTGGCTGGTTTCTTTCACTTAGAAAGTTTTCAACATTTATCTATGTCACATCATGTATCAGAATTTTAGTCCTTTTTCCCATCCCTGCTCCATGGTACCTGAGGATTGAACCCAGGGCCTTTACTCTAGGTAAAAGCTCTACCACTGAGCTACATCCACAGCCCTCATAATTTCATTTTTTTGAGACTTAAAAACATTCTACTTTTTTAGATATCATAATTTATACATTTGGGTGATGATGGACATTTTGGGTTGTTCCATCTTTTGGCTATTATGAATATAAATATGTGACACAAGTTTTTGGTCATTTGCGTAGGAGTGGACTTGTTAGGTCATGAAGTAACTCTGTGACCTTTCTCAGATGGTGACACCACTGATAATCCTCCAGCAATGTTTCAGTGTTCACAATTCTCCACATGTTCACCCACACTTTTCCACCTCATTCTATTGTCATTCTGGTAGAGGTAAAGTGGTATCTAATCATATTTTTTATTTGCATTTCTCTAATGACTAATAATGTAGAACATCTTTTATGTCTTACTGAACATTTGTTTATTTCCTTTGGGGAAGGGTTTATTCATATCGTTTGTCTGTTTTTGGAACTGGGTTGTTTCTGTATTGTTGAGTTATAAGAAGTTTTATATACTCTGGACATTAGATCTTATCACACATACAATGTACTACTGTTTCTCTCATTCCACAGTTGTCTTTTCACCTTCTTAATTGTGTACTTTGAAATACAAAATTTTTTAAAATCATGATGAAGTTCAATTTTTTGACTTTACTTTTCTGACTTTACTTGTTCTTTTTTACTTTTGGTGTCATACCTAAGAAACTATTTTCTAATTTAAGATTATGAAAGTTAACACCTATGTTTTCTTCTAGGAGTTTGATAGTTTTAGCTTTTACATTTAGGTCCTTGATCTACTGTGAATTAATTTTTTTCCCATTGAACTGTCTTGAATTGAGCACAGGTAAAGGGTTTGTTTCTGGAATCTCACTTCTATCTATCCCTGTGCTAGTACCACATAGAATGTACTCTAACTTTATAGCAAGTTTTGAAATTGGGATGAGTTGATTTTTCATTCTTTTTCAAGATTTTTTTTTGACTATTCTAATCCCCCTGTCCTTCTTTGTGAATTTGAAACTCAGGATGGAAATAAGTTAAGTTACAATACCACAAAGCTCCCTGTTTTTGCTGATCTTCAATTGTTTCTTGACTACAAACTCCTGAGTTTTACAAGCTTTTTGTTAATTTTCAGAGTTCTTTAAGAGTTACCTTCACTGTTTTTGCCAGGGTTCTCATTGTGTTCATGGGGGAAGATTTTCTGTGGTTCTTACTAAGCCAAACTGCTGACCATCATTCTCTGTCTCCATCTTTTTTTAACCAATGAGAATGGAAAACAAATGCTTCTGAGACGTTAAAGTCAGCACAAATAAATAAGAAAAGGCAAAAAATGGTTGGAATCACATGGGGATTGGGTGGGTGATATGACACATGTGGCCAAAGGCCTGGGGAGATTTACTAACCACAGTGTTGGAGACATGAAGTAAGGAAGAGAAGGAAGGATCCACTTCAGATACTGCTGCTTAGTTAATCTCAAATGATTTATGAGACATTTACTGAAAATGATAAAATCCTTAAGGTGTTAGAAAAGAACCATAAAACTCTAAGCATATATATTTTTTAAAGTGAGTCAGCAATTAAAAACAACCGTTAAACCATCTGACTCAGAAAAGACAGAATCCATGTGCCCCAGGGTCAGGTGCAGGCATCAGAAAAATCTTTTCTGCTTCAGTGAAGGCAAGACAGGAAGAACTCAGTTGTGAGGTCATACTCAGTTGCAGGCCACATCTAAACTGCCACAGGCTAATACCCAAGTCCAAATCCCAGGCCACCACTGTGCAAGGTCCTGAGAGCATGGATCACAGGGACTTGGCCTGTCTGAAATTGTACTAGCTCAAGAATATACAGTG